AGCCAAAACATGTATATAACATTCAGCATTAATGGTGCCTTCACAGATGTGCACGCTACCCATACCATGTGCACTAATGTCCCCCTATACCATCATAAATACTGGCTGTCGAACTGTGCACTGATAACAAGCTGAGTGGTCTTTAGCTCGGAGGTGTTCACAGTGTTCTTTTTGATTTCCAAAAAGAATTTCAAATGTTGATTCGTTGGACCACAAGACACTTTTCCACTTCCCCCCTAGTCCATTTCAAATGAGCTTGGGCCCAGAGAAGGCAGCAGCGTTTCTGGATCCTGTTTATATTTGGTTTCTTCTTTGCAGTTTAGAGTTTTAACTTGCATTTGTGGATGCAGCACCGAACTGTTTTCACAGACAGTGTTTTTCAGAAGTGTTCCTGAGCCCATGCAGTGATTTCCACTAGAGAATCATGTTCGTTTTTCATGCAGCCTGAGGGCCCAAAGATCACGGCCAGCAAATACTGGTTTTTGGCCTTGAGCCCTTGCATACAGAGATTTCTCCAGATTCTCTGAATCTTTTAATGTTATTATGTACTGTGGATGATGAAAAGCAAAAGTTCTATTTTATGTTGAGAAACGTTATTCTTGAATTGTTGCACTATTTGATCATGCAGTCTTTCACAGAGTGGTGAACCCCTCCTGATCTTTACTTCTGAAAGACTCTTTTTTATACCCAATCATGTTACTGACCTGTTGCCAATAACCACCATGTGTTTTTTGGGAAAAAAAAACCTTTTTGGAAAGTGTTGCTGGCATCAAATTCAAAAGGATAATTTAAATGATTTGCACATCATTACATTTTGTTTTTCTTTACATTTTTCACAGTGTCCCAACTTCTTTGGAAATAGGGTTGTATAAAAGGTACAAAGCATTCAATTGCAGCAATACTAATGTAAATTACAAATCTTCCAAAATAATACTTACATACAGTTACAAAGTACAACAATTTAAGTAATTATTCAATTATTCAAGAGAATAAGCAGTCTCATAACAGTTCCAATATTGCCATGATATCACAAATAATTTATTGGAACTCTTCCTGTCATGGACTTAACTTTTGACAGCTTTTCATATGACTATGTGTGTCTACATTTGAATTGGCAGGAATGGGATCCTTCTACACTCCAGCACAAAGCGTTCTCTGTAGCATTGTGACCTTTGAGGAGAAGAATGGGGTCACACAAGTCATTCATACACGTAATAAGAAGGAAATGGATGACATTTAATACACTGACTGAGAGAGGGAGAGGCAGAGGATGTAGTGATTTCTTGACCCTGTTATTGCATTTGCTCTTGAGATTGTTACCTGCATTAACCTTTGGAAATCTACAAGTATTACTGTCGTTTTGCTATAGATCATGAGTAATTATTTTGTGTAGTTAATCGTGTTGCCCAGCTTAGTTTGCCAAAGGAAGAAGCACTCTCAGACAGGTGTCACCTATGGCTCTCAGCTGGATATGATGTCACAGGATTATGTGCTCTTTATTCGGTACATTCTTTGTGGTGCTTTGCTACTGTAAAAAATTAATGAAGAACTGAAAAATAAATTAATGAACAGTGGTTGGCACTGACATGGACTTCTATTTCTTAACTGGCCTGCACACTGTTTGTGGTTCTAAGTATACACACAAATACACTTTGGAACTGAAAGTACCAAATCTGAACCAGGTCTGAGGTTGTGTTGCTGTGGCTCCGCGGATGGATTTTACTGGCTGAAGGCGCTGAAGGGATCACTTTAAAATACATTTGAAAAGCTGTATTTGAATACATTTGCAGATTCTATTATTGCAACACACAGTTCAAAGCAGCTGGGCTTCATCCTGCACTACATAGAGTCAAACTAGGAAACCGCATTAACAGCGTTAAAAATAAGAATTGACATTAAGAATTTATCAGCCCTAGTAGTAATTTAGGCTAATTAATCGATTGCATAGTTAGTTACGTAATTAGTTCCTTTACTTTCAATTAACATTCTGGGGAAACAAACTCAAATCCACATTTCTGACTTTTTTCAAAAAATGAGAACCTGACAAAAATGTAAAGGGTGGTTTTGCTTTCAACAAAACAAAATTGTATGTACAACAATAAATGGCCATTACTTTTAAATCATAACATCTCTTTTCTTCTATTGTACACCTGCCTTTTTTTATTGTCTTACAAACACAAATGTAGTATCAACTGAAAGTTTTAAATCTTAACCTTTCACAGAATTTCTCCACTTATTTTAGAGCTACTATTCATACTCGATTAGTTTTACACAGGGTTACACAGGGTAACGTAATTTTACCACAGAATGTCTGTGATGTTTAAGACCAGTACAGTAAGAAATCTAAATTAAAACTATAAATCTAATTACAGGAATGGGAGCAGCTACTCAATTTACACATTGTCATCACACCAAAAATATTCCATACGCAAAACATTCAGGTGCTCACAAGTAGAACGCATGTCTTAAGTGAACGCAATGTGTTATTAATATTGGCTTGGGAATATACAGACAACACTCAGCATCGCCAACAACATCATCATTTAACATTTTAATGTTTGAAGCAAGACGATACATATCAGCTTACTTTGGGCCAGAGATTACAAGCGAAACGCTTCTTTGAGTGCCTCCATATTTAAAGCCACACTATGTAAGATTTGGGGATTTGGAGACCTCTCTGGTGGAAATTGGTAATTGAATGCAACGTGTGGAAGAACATTTTGTAACGTCAGTTGTGCTTTGGACCCCTTCCCTGAGTGGGTGAATCAAACGATTGTGAGTGTGTTGAGAGATTATTCAAAGCAAACTCGGTGAAGGATGAGGATGTCAGCGAAATAGTTACTATTATCATCATATCTTAATCAGTATAATATTGTTTCTATATTTAAGACGATCAAGCCGGACCTTCTTTTTAAGCCTGCACGTGACATCAATACTTAAAAATGTATGATGTATCAAAAAAATACTGCAAAATCCTGCCTGACATTATTTCAGCTTTACAGATGACCCGCTGCAGTGCACGGTCACCATATTTTAGCATGTTTTTTTTCCGTTCTGACTCAGTAATGCCACTTTTTCCAATTTTAACATACAAAAACTCATTTTCCTCAGAAAGTGATGGAATATTTACTGACATGGCAATTTGCACAGGATTAATATAACCTGGAGTTATAATTAATACCTTCATTATTTATGTTATTATGTTGTCATCTGCTTATTTACTGCTTAGTACGCAGTGAGAATATTGAAATAGTTCACTCAACACCTACTCAACTGCTACAGACTACAGACTCCAGCCACTTTAGTTTTTGGCTGCTGGAATGTGACAGATGTCTGGAAAACCAATGGAAAGACTTTTCAGTGGAAAATACATCTGATAAAGGATGCAACATCATGCAAGTCTTTCTTGGTCAGATTTGGACTTTCAACAAGTGAAAGAGCAAAAACTTGCATGAAGAGCTACAGTAAATATAGACATGCAACTACACTTTGGACTCAATGCAAGGTCATCTCTTTCTCTCTGTCTCTCTCTCTCTCTCTCTCTCTCTCTCTTTCTCTCTTCCTCCCTAAAATAAACAGAGCATCAATCTCTCCACTCCTCCTTGCTCTCGTTCCACAGCTTTCATGTTAAGCCAATGGCCACGATGAGCATTATGGGTAATTCTCCAGTCAGCTGTTGGCAGTGGGGTGCAAACCCACCCCCCATACAAACACTGCCTCAACTCTCGCTACAGCCTGGAATTAGTTCTCTCTACCACAGACACAAACATGCTATCCAGCCACTCTCAGAGGCTCAGAGGCATTAAGGTTAATTACCAGAACTGTAATATACAGTAATCCCAGGGGAAAATGTTAATAATAATGTGTTCTGAGCCAGATCACAAAGTTTTGAAGGTTCTAATACAGCCTAAGCATTCTCCCTTGTCTTTAATGACCCAGAGTCAGCTTTTTCTTGTATATGTGTGTGTGTGTGTGTGTGTGTGTATGTGTGTCTGTGTATGCATTCAGGCACACAGCACACAAGTATGTGAGGAAAGATGTAGAGATTGGGCCCAGGGGGCAGGCCCGGAATCAAGAAACCCCTTTTTTGGACATATTACTTCTGCTACTGCGACATGCCAATTATTCAGTTACTGTTCCACTCATTTTAAGTTCTGAGCCCATTCCATGCGTCAGTGTAAAGCAGGGTGCTATATGGTCTACTCCCTGCTGATCCACAACCATCTAGGAGTGGAGTAAAACCAGTACAGCCCTGTGGATGACCTTTTCAAAGGGTGGGCGACTGCAAACATGGACAGCAGACAAGTTACTGAGTCACTTGCAAACCATTCTGCGGTCTGGTTGACTGCTTATTATCCACGAAATAACTGAAAGACCACATTTGACTAGATTAAGGTCATCCAAGCAGATTTGTTAACTTTGGAAACTGTTCTAGAAAAAGTCTGGCAGACCTTTCTGAACACTCACTGAGTTTAAACGCTCTGCTATTGAGAGATTTAATGTTGTGGAGACTTAAGACGTGAAAAGTGGACCAAACTTGTGGAGAATGCAAAAGAAAACAAAACACTTCCAAATAGTTTCAACTCTACTGGGGGAGATTTAGCATGTGTGCTAATATCTTGCTTTTCTTAATATGCATTGTTACTGCTTTAGGTTGTGAATGCTACTTACACAGCTCATAAGTCGTTATTAAGGCTGACTCGAAGGATTTCATTGGTTGCCTTTCCATGGGGAGCTACACAGTCTAAAGTTGCAAACTCTTCAGATATTTCTATTTTGAACCCTTTAAAAGCTGATTTAGTTGAGAAATGGTGTTCTTGCCTTTATTCCATCGTGTACATACTAATAGTGATTATAATACTTTGTAATTAAGATTTGAGGAATTTACCGCTTAGTGTTGTTAAGCTACATTGTTTTGTCCAACTTCTACCCACTAGTGTTAGCTATCTTGCTATACTGACCATTTAAAACTTTTTTTAGTCGAAAGGCGGTGTTCTTACCTTTAATGCTGATTCCGAGCCCCCCCACGTCCTGCTTGGTGACCCTCACGGTGCGCTTCACGCTGCTGATATGTTCTGGGACGTTGGGGCTGCTCAGGCTACTCGGTTCCCCGTTCAGAGGCGCCGCGGCCGGGGCTTTGCTCTTAGGCGGCTCCTCGGTCGCCTCAGCGGGGCTCACAGTGAGCGCGTCCCCGCTTAGCGCTGCCAGCACGCGGCTCCAGCGCTCCACCGCCACGCGCAGCTCCAGCAGCCCGCTTTTGGGAGCCTTCAGCGCGGCCGCCATGTTCACCACGCATTCCTGGAATACCGCAGCACGGGCTGGCAGTCCCGTAAAGAGATAGGGGTGGAGAGAGATGCCCAGAGATAGGCTGAAACCCCCTCCTCTCTCTCTCTCTCTCTCTCTCTCTCTCTCTCTCTCTCTCTCTCTCTCTCTCTCTCTCTCTCTCTCTCTCTCTCTCTCTCACTAGTAGCAACTTTATGGAATCTGTTAATCTGTTGCTTGAGCAGAGACCAACAGCCTACAAAACAATGACCAGCTGGTGTAGATCAGTTTTTCACACGTATAATATCCAGACTGATCTACTTCGATATGGGACCATTTTTCAAAAATCCTGCACACTAAAAAAAGATGGTTCTTCAAGAGTTTGTTTAGTAAAGGTGGATCTATTTAGAAGCATGAGTTCTGTCTAGAACCATTTCATGATTAAATGGTTCTTCACATGGTGAAATGTTTCTTCAGACTGAGAATGTCTTGTATATGGTTCTACAGAACCATTTTAAATGGAACCCATGGTTCTAAATAGAACCATTTTCTTTACTAAAGAACTCTTGAAGAACAATCCTTTTTTAAGAGTGTGTATAATTCAACAAGATGTAAACAAAGTCATTCAGTGTGGTTTAGATCTGAAATGATTCATTTGGAGAGAAACTTACCGACTCCTTTTACAGTGATTCCTTTACAGTGGTGGTGATCTGAACCACGATTCTGATTTTTACATGCAGTGTTGATAATGGTAAAATAGTGGTAAATCTGAAAAAAAATGTTTTCTTTAAGTACTATTTTGCCTCACAATGCCCTGCATGTACCTCTTCACAATGAAAGTGTCTTAAAGAAGATATTGTAGGCCATAGCCTTCTCCCAAAAGTATCATAAAACAATGCACTCAGGCATCAGGCAGCGTATTTATAACCACTTAATGGAGTAACTTTCTGTGATGTAGCTTTTAGAGGCATTAAATGCTTCAGAGGTCTGGTTCCTATCTCCACCACTGTAAAGAATTATGGCTCTATAGGTTTCAGTACAATAGAATGTTGTTTACATTTTGGTTACAACTTTTGTTTAGATTTTTTTACAACTTCGCAATTTAATTATGCAGAAATTTTCAAAAAAATGGCAGAATTCCCCTTTAATTAGGCTAAGTGTGACTTCTTTTGCTAGACTAACTGAATCTGGTCTGTTGTGGTTTGTTGTATAGTTCACTTCAATGTCTTTTGGGTAAGAACATGAAGATAATCAGAATTTGATGGATTTGTTTTTTTTATGAAATTCACTCATTAATTCATTCATTTGTTACATGTTATAGTAGCTGTAGAAAGAGTAGTAGTGGTAGGGTGGATTCAGGTACACTATACGGCCAAAAGTATGACCTTGTTGGACATCCCATTACAAAACCATGGGCATTAATATAATTGATTCACTCATTCATATGTTTGTTACATGTTACTGTAACTATAATAAGAGTAGTTGTGGTAGGGTGGATTCAAATGTGCTAAATATGACCTTGTTGGACATCCCATTACAAAACCATGGCATTAATATGGAGTTGCCCCCTGTTTGTGGCAATAACAGCTTTCACTCTTCTGGGAAGGCTTTTCACAATATTTTGGAGTGTGATTTATGCCCATTCAGAGCATATGTGAGCTCAGGCCCTGATATAGGACAGGAAGGCCTGGCACGCAATCAATGGTCCAGTTCATCCCAAAGGTGTTCAGTGGGGTTGAGTGCAGGTTTCTTTACAGGCTCCTGCACACCAAGCTCATCAAACCATGTCTTTATGGACATCGCTTAGTGCACAGGCTCATGCTGGAACAGGAAAGGGCCTCCCCCAAACTGTTGCCACAAAATTGTGTTTAAAATGTCCTTTAATGCTGTAGCATTAACATCACCCTTCACTGGAACTACGGGGGCCAAACCATAAATAAACCATTACCCTCCTCCACCAAACTGTTGGCTTTATGCATTCTGGTAGGTGGCGTTCTCCTGGCATCTGCCAATCTCAGATTCATCCATCAGACTGCCAGATAGTAAGTCATGATTCATCACTCCATAGAACATGCTTCCACTTCTCCAGAGTCCGGTGGTGGTGTGCTTTACATCACTCCAGCCGACACTTGGCATTGCGCATAGTGATCTTAGACTTGTGTGCAGCTGCTCGGCCTTGGAAACCCATTATATTAAGCTCCCAGCACACGGTTATTGTGCTAGTGTTGCTTCTAGGGGCAGTTCAGGATTCTATAGTGAGTGCAGTAGCAGAGGACAGGCCATTTTTATGTATTATGCACTTCAGCACACAGCGGCCCCATTCTGTGGCCTACTGCTTCTTGGCTGAGCTGTTGTTGCTTCTAGATGCTTCCCTTTTACAATAATAGCACTTGCAGTTGACCAGGGCAGATGTAGCAAAGCAGAAGTTTTATGAACTGATCTGTGGCAAAGGTGGCAACATGCATGACAGGGCCATGGTTAAAGTCACTGATCTCTTCAAAATAGCTCATTCTGGTCTGTGGAGATTGCATGGCTATGTGCTTGCTTTTATATACCTGTTAGCAATGGGTGTTAGCACATTAACTCAATAATTAGGAGGAGTATTAACATACATTTGGCTATATAGTGTATTTTGGGCCACCAGGTAATAGGACATGAAGAAACTCTTGTTTGTTCTGAAATACAGCCACTATTGAATGGCTTTGTTATTTAATGCCATGTGTCCTGTAGGGCTTATCACACTGACTCGTAATACTTGACACCAACTACTACAGAGAAGGCCAGCTCTAGATTATAAGAGGCCCTAGACGTGATTTTACTTTGGAGACCATCTGTACAGTGTAAGTTATCATGGTATAGGTAAGCTGGCAGTGTGTTAAAGGGCCCATGTCATGAAAAACTGAATATTCTTAGCTTTTTTTTTATCAGAACTTGCTGTAGTATGTAAACAAAGTTTCAAAACACACAGTTCATGCTCCAGTTTATACAATCCACATTTGGAAATTAAGCCTGTTTGGAATCATTGTTTTTGTGACATCACAAAAATCAACACATTTAAACAAATCTGTTTATTCAGCATACAGCAGTTTAGTCCTACCCAACTCTGTTTAAGTTTGAGTAAGGCACAATACAGAGCAGCCAATTAGTACAGAGGTCATTTGCCTACATGAGTCTTAAAGGCACGGTAACAAAAGCAGCCAGTTTGATTCTAATGGATAAAGTTGGGGTGGAAATGGTCATGTAAAAATGAATTATGCCTGTTTTTGGTATGTATAACCACACAAATGTCATAAATGGACCTAAGGGGGGGAAATAAAATACAAGAAAATTGCAGGACATTAAATCACAAATGCATACTAAAACACAACGATATGAGATACACATCATTTCTTATGGTAACTGCATGCAATAAATAAGTGTAAAATCTTTCTCATTTTTAGATGCTAAATACCTCATTAACCTGGCCTGTAACTCACTCACATGTTTAGAAGGTTATAGTTTCTCTACAATGTCCTCATTGGTTTTGTCTGGATCACAGAAAAACAGGAATGGGATAGTTGGATGGACAGATGGATGGATGGATGGATAGATGGATGTACTTTGTTATTAAAAAAAAAATCTTATTGTTCCAAAGCAGCTGACGAACACAAGAAATTATTAAACATTTTAGGGATTCATAAAGTTCAGTTCATATAACATATTACCTATGAATCAGTTCATGACTAGATATTGGTAAAGATACTTTACGTAAAAAGAGGAGACTGTTGGCTGCATTGCTTACAAACATTAAGAATAATAACAATTTGGTTAGTGTGATTTTGGTTGATGCTTGCGTTCAGAGATCTCTGACTAAATATTCTTTCTATTTTTCTTGTTCTTCATCACTTCTTCGACTGGCTGAGAACAGACTGATAGACGTCCTCCCTGAGTATCACATTCCGTTTATGAAGTTGTCTATTTTTTGGCTTTTCTGTTCTCTGTCTCCACCTGGTGGTGAAGATTTGTCCAGACTAGATGAAAGTCTACAGAGAGTCTATCAGGCCTTTTACAGGGAAAGTGCACAATAAAAAATCTGCATAATTAAATAGTTAGTAATGACTAAATTAGTCATTCATAGTGGTTTGATGTGAAAGGGTTCATTGTGAAGAAACTCTGATTTCTTTACAAGTGGTGGTGATAGGAACCAGGGGTTGTGATGTCTACAACACAAATATAGTTAATTTATTTACAAAAATAAAACCATCAGTGAGCCTAAACATGTCTTCAGAGTTTTTCTATGTAATATTGATAAAATAGTGATAAACCTGAAAATATGAAGATTCCTTTGGGTTCTTTTCAGCTTTACAACACTCTGCATGTATCACTATAAGTTCATTTTTAAAATACACTTTAGGTTGAAATCAGGGAGTGTGTTCATAATCATCTTGTGTAATAACGTAGCTATAACATTAAATAATGCCAGATGTCTTATTCCTATTACCACTGCTATGACCAGCTATATGCAAAACAGATCCTGAAAGGCCTCAGTTCTGTACAGTTGACTGTTGTACCTGATTCAGCTTTATTTGGAGCAAAATGTTGGATGCTGTTTCAAAACTGAAATTCCTTTAGGATTCAACTTATTATGATTATATATATTGGTATTTGTGCAAAATGTGTTCATATTCAGGAAACATTGCATTCTAAATGAGAGTAAAGGTTTACAGACACTCCTAAGTAGTTTTCTGGGCATAGAAATATTCAGGGCACATATAAATAACAATATTAACCATTTATTATTCAACATTTTAATATAGTAAATTACACCTTTAAAGGTGCTTAAAAGTCTTATCAACCTTGTGGACTGCCACCTCCCTAAACTCCAAACACAAAATTTTGATTTTGCATTTGTATAGCGTGAAATATGGGATGAAAAGAGGGGTCAGAAAGAATTCAGGCTTTCTGATATGGGTCCTTTGAACAATAAATGTAAGTTAAATAATGTATGTTATAGAGGCTAAACAAGTTGCACTTAAAGTGCTTCAGTTAAACCTGCTCTAACTTTAAAACTCTGATCCTAAATTTAACCACAGAACCCAGTCACATATTCACCCATATAGCCTAGGATTAGTTTAGTTTGACCTGACGAACATGA